CTGGTGGGCTAAAACGGCTGCCACCGACGTGCGAACGCGCAGGGGCACTGCCGAACCAGCGCATGGCAGGTGGGCCCCTGCACGTGAGACTCCTGCGTGGTGCTGGGCTGGTGAATCTGGAGGCACTGGGCCCACTGGAGGCTCCAGAGCTGGAGGCCTCCCGAATGGGGTCCGGGTCGATGGGGTCGGAGGATCGCGCCGCATCGGCAACACTGGCGATGCGTTGGCGACGTCGGCGTGGAGAAAATCGGGCTCACAGAGGGTCTGGGGTCGTCGAAGGGCTCCCAACGCGGAAGGCTGCAGACGGCCGGCTAGATCTACCCTGGCATACAGTCAAAGCTGTTTGCGAGGACGCGCGACAAGGATGCGAGCCCCTTGAACGCCAATGGTGAACCTCGTCGAGCGGGGCTGGCCTTCGAAAACTGTGAAGGATGGACCAGAGAGACAAGGATGCACGGGTAGCCTTGGGAAGGCGACCCATCCTCATCATCGGGTTCGACTGCGCCCTCCCGCCCGTGGCCCTGACCCCCGGCAGGATCCGCGGGGCTCTCCCGGGCGGCTGCCCCGCCTGCCCTCCCGCACGCTCCGGCAACAGGGCCAGGGGAGGCCACCGCGCCAATCTTTCCATCCGGGTCGTGCAGCTGCTGGGGGCGAGACAGGGACGTGCGAATTTTGTCCAGTGGGCTCGCAGTCAGCTCGTATCATAGGGATGCGCGGCAAGGAAAAGGCCTTGGATGGCCATGCTAACGTGTTTCGAACGAGGTTGGCCAACGAAAGTGGCCAAGGATGGGTCGAGTTGGCAAGGATGCACGGCTACTGTTGGGAAGGCTGCCCCTCCTTACTTTGCGGGTTGGCTGTGCTGCCCCGCAACAGCGTACAACAACAAATCCACCAACCCTGTCGGCGTCTCCCTTCCCGTCCTCGCCCCCTTTCGCCGGGCAACACAGCCTGCCTGGGACCAGCATGTCGCAGCCTGTTTCCGTAATGCCCAAAGACGGTCGAGCGCGCTTAGAGGGCTCCTGATGGCTTCGTCACGACCCAAGAGGGGTCCCAAAGACGCCGCAAGAGGTCAAACATGGCCCTGGGGGCCTCCGAGAACGCCCCAAGACATTCCAGGAGGCCGTGTGAGGGGCTTGTCCGTCCGAGTCGTCGTCCCAGACATTCGTTGGTCATCGCCTCTGTCTCCCCCTTTACCTGCGGCCCCTGTTTCCCTGGGCCCGTCGCCGCTCGCCCCCTTGTTTCTGTAGAGGAAAAAACCATGCACATACACCGATGTTGGCCAGGTCCATCCTGAGCCCAAGATCGGTGCATACGCCCTCCTGCCTTGGCCGGGAACGCATATGCACCAATCCTGGGGCCAAGGATGGGCCTGTCCAGGACCGGTGCATGTGGGTAGTTCTTCTCTTCGCCCGATCTCTGGGCTTTCCTCAATAAGCGCCAGCCAGAACGACGTTGAACAGCGTCGCAGTTCAGTCGGAGGGAAGCCTCCTCCCTTTGATCCCTCCCTCGCCAGGGGGGGGGGGGTCCCAAGGTTGGTCCCCGGGGGGGTCCCAGGCCACGAAAAAGCTCCAGGACGGGCCCCGAGTGCCCGACGAGGCCCCCTAAGACGGTCCAAGAGGGGCCCGAGTCGCCGAACGATCTGTCCCGGACGCCCTGACGGCCTCCAGACGGACCATGAAGCCTGCAAGACGCCCCAAGAGGCCTCCAGGAGCTCTCCCAAGAGGGCCCCGAACGGCACACATCATGAAAGCCGATGCCAGATTTTCCAAGAGGCAGCTTGCCGAGACACAACACCGCTGGTCTCGGAGAGGCCAGACTTGAACCCACTGCTGATTCGAAGGCTTCAAATTGGCTCGGGCGTGGCGTATGAGGGCGGCTAAAGATGGCTTGAGACAGCAGTGGCCGCATTGTATACATTCCCATGCACGCATTTCGATGAAAGACAATGCCAGGTCTTCCTAGAGGCAGCTTGCCGACGCACAACACCGCGGGCCTCAGAAAGACCGGACGTCAACCCAATTACACGGCCATCAAGCACCAGTGAGCTGGCGCAGTTACAATCTACTTAAGCGTGCCACTGCCAAACTTCGAACTGAGTTGTCCAACGTATTGCCTATGAATTCTGCCATGGGATGGGGATAGGGCTCCGCCACCTTGGACACCCAAGCTCCGTGCATGTTTCCGCCGATGCGGAAATAAGGTCTGCCAGAGAACTTACACAAACCACGCAGTCCAAAGCATGTGAACCTCTCCGTGTTAGGGCTGCCAGCGTCCAGGAAGAGCAGTCTAGTGCGCTTCCTGACAGGCAGCCCGCAGGAGCAAACATCAACGAGGGTAGGGTTACTTGGCCAGCAGGCGAATGTGTGAGGGAAAAAGCCAGAAAGGAGCGAGGTGGCAGGGTTCTCTTCCCCACATGGAATGCCTAGGCCCTCGGCCGTCCGCGGCAGCTGCCCGCTATGGTCGACGATGGCGTTGGCCTCCTGGACCTGATCTGCGAGCCGGGGTTCAAGATCAGGAAGCCCTCGGTAGCGAACATTGGATCGGAGAAGTGGGGGCACGCCTGCCGCCCCATTCTGGCGCGCCCGCGTGGTGGTCACACAGGGCGTCGCCAGCCAGAAACCCCAAACGCGGCTCGCCTTGATCCAGCCCAGGACGACGCTGAAAACGTCGGTCCTGCGAAGGTCGCGTCGTGGCCCGAGCTTCTTTTCGAAGGGGATGACGCCGTGGCCGCGACTCTTCAGAAAGCGGCCGACCGGCCCCGAGAAGATGTCGAGGAAGACCGCGCCGTGCCCGATGGGGGCATCGCGTCGGGCTGCCCGCGCGCTTCTTGAAAGAGCCTGGTCAACTCGTACTCTCTCCAGCGTGACATCGCCACCGCCGCGTGGTCGGCTGGTCGAAGCACCCGCCCGAGGCGGGCGCGCCTCTCACACCTGGCCAGTCTCGAGGCCGTCTTCCAGCCGCCGTGCTTCATCACCTCCATCATGGGCTGAAAGTGGCTGGAACGGTCTTCTGCCGCGCCCCTGTGTCGCGAGCAGCGGGGGGTCACCTGCGGGGGCCCGAAACCCAGGCGCCCGAGCAAAGCCATCCAGTGCCTCTGGAACGTCACGGAGTCGAACCTGAACTCCAGCCCGCGGGCTCCTCGACAACCGACGATCGCCTCCCGTCGTGGAACGAACGCTTGATGCTGGTCGAGATTCACGTTCGCGTTCTCGTCGAAGCCGCCTGTCTTGCCAGGCCTGTCGAGCTCGGATGCTCTGAAGGGCGCTCCACCTCGGCCCTTGGACCTGAGCAGTCCCGCGCCTGCGGGGGGCACCAGCTGTGAGCGCTGCAACCTGAGGGCCTCGCCCGGCAGCGCGCGCGCCGCGAGGGCCCGCGTCGTCAAGAAGCCCAGGCTGTTACAGTCGTAGTCGCACAGGTCGAGGACGATGGCGTTCGCCAGCTCTCGCAGCAGAGGCGAGCGGTCAGCCCCGCCATGGCCTTGCGCCAGCCCGACGCCGCAGCCGCGGCGAGGGGGGGGCCCTCGCCTCAGGGGCCGCGGGGCCGCGGGTTCGGCCCGGCGAAGGGCGCCCAGCGCCCCCTGCAGCGTTCTCTGGGGCGCCGACGTCGCACTCCGCGAAGTTGGCCCTCAGCACCTCCCACGCGGCGGCCCCCAGGCACGGCGCTCGGCGCACGGGCAGCCAGCCCGGGGGCCAGCGCAGGCAGTTGGCCCGGCGGGCGCCTACGGACAGACGTCGCAGTCTCGAGCCCACTGCCTCCAAGTACCTTGCGGCGAAAGTCGCGGGGCTCGCAGCCCGCGGGAGAACCCGGCGGCTCGTCTCCAGCCGCAGCTGTCTCAGCCCGCTGCCAGCGCCCTGGGAGGCCGCGCGCGAACGGGGCCGCAACCGCGAGACGTCGTAGCCCCGGCGGATGCGGCACCCCATCGCCCACGCACGGCAGGGAGTCCCCGCCGCGAGGCGCGCCCGTTGCAGGGCGCCCAGCTGGAACACCACTTGCAAGACACCTAGCTGCGTGCACCGCGGTCAGGACACCCCGCTGGCACCCCACTTTTCAGACACCCAGCAGGTGTGCCATTTGCTGGGCCATTGAGCCAGGAGGGTTACGGTGGCGCGGGGTCGCAACGCCGGCTAGGAGCGTCACCGCCGTTCCACTCCGAAGGGATCCAGCGCTATAAACGACATCCAGAGGCGATCGCGAGAGCACACAATTCACGACATCGACGAAGAAGAGCCAAACAAAAACCGGGCCATGGAATCGCTGAGCGGGAGGTGGCGATGGTATCCGAGCCGTCCGTCCCAGCGGATCCGACGTGCAGCCCGCAGGGCCGCCTCCGCCTCCAAGTTCAGAATCGTCTCCTTCCTCCTCCACCGAGCCAAGCAGGGACCTCGGGGAATGCGACCTCAGCTCCAGCATCTAAGAGTTCATGCTCTTACCCAAAGCGAGGCAGGAAAAGGGCACCTCCGCGTCACCGAGGACGTCCCGCGGCTTGGTAGACATCCTGAGCTCGCCCCTGAAGCGGCACCTCTCGCTGACGCGCCCGACTCGGCCCGCGATCTCCCGATCAACGTCGCAGATCGTGACCCCGAAGCCGTGGAGGGAAGCATCGACCGAAGTGGCCTCGGCGCACCGCTTGAGATCCAGCCGAGCGACGGCCTGGGGGGGAGAGCCCAAGCAAGCTAGCATCCGTGCCCAACCGAGCTCCAGACCCGCGCGGGTCGACCCCGAAACCGCCTGCTGAAGTTGTACATTGCAGGACAAATCGAGAGCTGTCCTGGGCGGAGCTGAGGAAGCGCCGAGACGCGACCTACCAAGCGTGCAATCAGCCGTCCAGTCCGACGAACCCTACCCTGATAAACCGCCTTCGAAGCAAGGGCAATCCCCCACAGCTTCATGGCCGAAGGGACCCGCGAGATCCCCGAGGGGCCGACGCAGCATCCCGAAAGGCGCCGTCGGGTTCCGCGCCGGCGTCGGCGCCAGCCTTTTTTATATAAAAAACATTAAAA